GACTCGGACGCTGACTGCTGACGGTTCTGGCTCGTGAAGCGCTTTCAGAGCACATGAACTCAGACCTCTCCAGGGCCATCGTAAGGCGGCTACCTCCACAGCTACCACCTCCACGGTGGCCTGCTGTGCTCAGAGGGCAGAGATGGCATTTCGTGGCCGAAGGGCAGGGGGCCCAACACAACAGACAAGACTCCTGAAGAGACCGAGAGCCATGGAAGTGAAAGGCTCCAGTCCCTGCTACAGGGCGCGGCTCGGCACTGGGGGTTTGTGCTGCCCACGGCCTGGTGCTGCCCAGCATTCTGCCCAGGCAGGCCCTAAAACACCAGGGAGGGACTCCAGCAGGGCCACAGGCCCCCTCCAAGAAGGCAGAGGACACCTAACTGCTGCCTCAGCCTCTGCAGGATGGCAGCCACCTCTGGGTAATAAGTAAGGCAGAAAGGACTCGCGCTCTGGCCTGGATCGGCGGCCCTGCTCACAGTCGTCCTTCCAAAGCAGCAGCGCCGTCTCTGACCACGGTCCTAAGGTCACTGACTGGCCCAGTGCTTACCCCACGATCACACGCGAGGCTCCCAACCCCAGCTCCAACAGCCTGCCTGGCAGAGGCCGCCCTGACCCACACCACAGAGCCTGTCTCAGAACCCACTCTCTCAACCACGTGCTCAATGGTGTCACAGTGACAAGTCCCTCGGGCACCCTGCACCCCTGGACAAGCACAAAGGTGACGCCCAGTCTGAGGGACAGCCTCAGGTTCTGGAACCCGCCGGGGCTCACGACCCTTGGGAGCCGCCCACAGCTTCCTCCCAGCTCCCCTCGGCCACATCTGCAGGGGTCATTAGCTCTGGCCAGCCTTGGCCCAGCCTCAGGCCCGCAGGCTCTGGCTCCGGAACTCGGGAGAGGAGCTGGTGTCACACGCAAGCTCCGGCCGGGGACAGCAACCCAGGAAACTAACTCCCCACAGTACAGTACAGCGGGTGTCAGGTGAGGCAGGGGGAGGCAGGGGAGCTCCCTGATCTGTCATCTTGGCCTCACCCCTGAATGGCTTGTCACCCAGAAACCAGGAACAACCCAGTACCACCAGCCTGGCAACCACCCTTCCCCATCCAGAAAGGGCATGGGGTAGGTACAGGCCACTTCAGGCAGCAGCTGGGTTCAGAGGGCACAGGAGGGAAAAGCTGGGCGTGACCAGCATCTCCCCAGGGACCCCCACCCCGCGCTGCCCCGCCCACCAGCTCAGTGGAGGCTGCTGCTCACGCGCACAGCAGACTGTGCCACGGAGAAATGCCCCACCAAAGGCCAGCGCCAGGGACAGCTTCAAGGTGACTCCCGACTTCCAGGCTCCCCTGCTCCTACCTGCCCCTGTGTCAACCTGCCTGTGCCTGTGAGTCACTCACCAGCATCTCAGCAGCCACTTGTGCACCTGCAAGCCAAGGATCACATCCCACCCGACACACAGGAGAAAACGCCACCTTCCGGCTTCCTACAGGGACAAGGCCTTAGCACTGGGTTAAAAGTCACAGGCGGCCAGCCCGGCTCCTGGGGACCTGCATCTGACAGAGGTGAGCAGTCTCACAGGCTCAACTGTGTCCCCTCAAAATTCACAGGCTGAAGCCTGGAGCTCTAACACCTCAGAATGAGGCTGCATCTGGAGGCTGAGCCTCAGAGGGTAAGAAGGTACGACCAGGTCACACGGGTGGCTCTGACCCTAGAGGACAGAGTCTTTATCGGAAGAAAGACCCATGGACTGAGCTGAGGACACAGCAGAACACAAGGAGAAACCAACCCTGCCGCCACCTTGATCTTGGGCCTCGGCCTCCAGAAGGCAGCCCCCTGGTCCCTGGTGATTTGAGGCCACCTGGGCGGACTGACACAGAAGCAGACAGAGAAAGGCGCCCAGCTGCAGGTCAGGACAAGAGCCCAGGCTCCACCAAGGCTCACACCATGGGAAGCTGGGTGGTTCTCGGTGACCTGTGCCATAGTGCTGCCAGCTCCAGTGACCGCCTCTGTCCTTAGTCCCCCAAGGGTTTGTGGTCATAGACTGGCTAGGCTAGGGGTCTACAGGAGACTGCTGGGAAAAATGGGAATCAGCCACCGGTTAGGAGAAGACAGAGAAGACGCCAGAGTGGCGCCGCCCATCTGGCCTTCCGACAGCCGCCACATCCACCAACTCCAGACCCCGGCAAGCCAGACCTCTGCAGGCACCAAGCCGCAAGATCTGGAAATGCAGGGCCCAGTAGGTGACCAGATGGTTTAATAAGTAATCGCCACATGGTGGGCCACTGGTGAAGATGGACAACTCATCGAGACAGCAAAGCAGGAAGGAGCAGCCAGTGACCAGCTCCGGCAGGGAGGGGACGGGGCTCAGGGGAGGCTTCAAAGAGAAGGCATCGCAGGGCCTCCAGGGCAGAACTGGAGTCCACGTGCAGGCGGCTTCCCAGCGAGGCGCAGAGGGTTGAGACAGCAGTGTGACATTGTGGGACAGGACAGGAATCGGAAGCGGCCAGGCAAGAGGGCGGTGGAATACACAAGGACTTGCAGGCCAGCGGGACAGCCGGGCTGTGTCCTGAGGGTGGGAAGGTCCCCAGGAGCTCCCAGAGGAAACTCGGCTGCAGACGGGGCATTCAGCAGCAGGCCTGAGGGAGCGGCTCAGTGCCAACTCCCAAGCCAGACCCAACTTGGCCCTCGCCAAGGCCAAGCGGGCCTCCGCGTGAGTCCCTGTCCGGGGCAGCCCCGCTATGCTCCCCAGTCAGGCCCGGGGGTCAGACCCACTGGTTCTCTGGCGTTAGCACTTGAACAGACAGCGTGAGGCCGAGGCACTAAAACCCGGCAGAGACACCAGGCCCTGGAGGCAGCAACCTCTCTGTTCTCGAGAATCAAACCAAAATGAGCCACCAGCTTCAGCAAGGGAGAAGGACCCGCTGGGGCCTCACTGTCTCCCTGGCCTACTTCCTGCCCATCAGGCTCTGTCCCCAGTTCAAAGTCTGATCTCGACAGGAGCTGGGTTGATCTTCCCACTTTTATCCCACAGGACAGCCGGACACCCTACCTGAGTTCCAAGGCTTTATGGGGATTTATAAGATGCAGCAGGGCTTCCACTTAGAATCTGAGCTGAGCCATTGGCAAGCCCCACCTTCCAGCCTACTCCCTGGAGCCTGTGAGGGCCTCCCTGGCCAGACGGTGCCCCTCTGAAGCCAGGTCTGTGCACATCCCCAGCGGCAAGGGAGGACGGGTGTGCCTGGACCAGTGACCTCACCTCCTCAAGGCCACTTCTCTACACACCCAGAGGATGACAAGAACCACCTTCAGATCATCTGATGAGATAATATTTATAAATGCTAAGAGCCCAGCATGTACTGCGCCCTGGGTTTGATCCCCAGGAGGGAAAAAAATCTTAAAAATTAAATAAAAAGCTAAGGAGGGAATGGGGGGTTTGGGGCTCAGTGGTAGAGCGCTTGCCTTGCACACATGAAGCACTGAGTTCAATCCTCAGCACCACATAAAAATAAATAAAGATATTGTGCCAGCTACAACTAAAAAAATATTTTAAAAAAGCCAAGGAGTTGCACTCAC